TCCTTTAGCTTTTCAAGTTTTAAAGTCTTCAAGATGCAGCTGATCTGACTAAACAAAGCTTTACTGAAGAACTTAACTATTCAAAAACCTGAACCATTACAAGAAGCATTACAAGAATGAGATGAGTTGTTATACACTAAATGACTAAAATTATTTCCCTACAGACTGGAGATAGGAATGGAGATACTTAAAGAATATTACCTTCTCTTCTGTCTTTAATGCTGGCTTTGGAGGCTGAGGTTGAGGGACTTTGAAACCTAGAAGTTCCAACATATTTTCAGCTGCATTGCGTTTAGCAACTTTTTTGTTCGTGCCCATTCCTTCAGCTGTGTGTACACCAACTTTCACCTGGACAAAAGAGAAGGCAAAAGAACATAAATTCTTACAAAAGCAGCATTAGTATTCACTCATTAGTTATCCATGTTTCAAATAGGGCATGAATCACCTAACAGTTGCTGTCATTCCAATCAAACATTGCTTAGATCATTGACTCCCAAGGACAAAAATAAACAGAATTGGCATCATCTGTATTTCATCATCACACAGTTGCACCACCTTAAGTACTGGAAACTGGTATCATGGTAGATGTAAACTTTCTAAACTGAAGTTAAAGGTTTAGCAGATTTTGTTAGGTACTGAAAGGGAAACAACTACTATTTCTGCTTAGCAGTTCTTTTCTGCCTTGGCCAGATCAGGAAAGAGTGGAAAATGCACTTTGAYTACTGAAGGCTTACAGATATTCTGTATTAAAAATACTTCTATATATTGGAATATGCAGAGTGCTGCATTGTAAAGCAAAACAAAATTCGGGGGAAGAGTAAATGAAGGGTTTTCACATTCTTATTAATAAATCCACTTAAAAAAATACAAGCAGCACAGTATCTCTTACCATTAGCTTATTTTTCCTATTAAAAGTATTAGGAAGTTACAACAAACTTTCAGTGCCCTACGCAATTGTTTTCACACAATTTGGATCATCTTTCTTGAACCCTCATCATGCTTGAACAGAGCCCACCAGGCATTTTCTTAATAAAGTTCACAAAAGCATAGCTGTAACTCTGCAACATCTGTTTATCATTGTGACAATCTGATTGTGATAGCCAAAAAAGTAAGACAAACTGAATTTCTCAAATTAAAATACAAACCTGCATAACAAACTCCCTGCGCCTTGGAAGACCACGTTCTGTGATGAGCATGTACTCTGGTTCCTTCTCTTTCTTGGCCTGCTGTATCTGGGCAAGTCTGCTAATAGGATTCATTCCTTGACCATATTCTGGACTTGTTTGCAGCTAAGTAGAAKAATGTTTAGGAAATAAGCCAACACTCTGTGAATATTTGATGCAATATACAAAATGCAGTGTGCCAATAAACTCATTCATCTCTAGGAATTAGAGAAATTAAATCAAAAGCTGCTTAATAAACCCCATCACAGCCAGAGGAAAATGTTCAAATCATTTGGCTGTCCAGTTAGAGTTGACCACATATAACCTAAGACTGGCAAGAATTTCATATTTTTAATCAGATAATATTAGGAAGGGGAAAGCTTTCACTAGAATTTGGAAAGCAGAATAATTCAAAACCCTAGACTGCAAACTGTAAACTCTAAGGCTTGAAGGTCAGAGCTTGATTTTTATATGCCACCCCTTTTATATGGTTTCTCTTTGATCTTCAATTTGTTGTAACCATTGTTTTCCTACTGTAGCAATGGTGTCGCAACTCCATTTAGAGTGCGCGCAAAATATCATTATATCTGTAGCACCAGACTGCTAATTAATATTTAGCACTTGAGGAGTGTTTATAATCGACCTAGGAATGTCTCTCATCTGATGATAATTTACAAGAGTTGGATTCAATCTATTAAAGTAGTGGATTTCAATCTACCAGAGTAGTCTCTTACCTTCACTATTGATTTTGTTTTCTTTTTGATTCGTGGCTTCATTTTCTCAACTGTAGGAAGGGGTGGCAATTTTTTCAGTTCTTCTAGGACTGCTATTGCAGCATTTTTCTTAGAGATCTTCTTGCTCTTTCCTTCACCTTCACCCATGAATTCTCCTACTGACACCTTGGTTACAAAGCTCTTCATATGGGGAGGACCACTTTCCTTAGTCACCTGTTTCAGAGGGAAAAACTGAGTGAAAGCGTGATAAACACTTATTAAAAATGGTAGGGCACAATGTTTATAGTCAACTTCTCTTAAGAACTATGGGGAAAGGGAATAGACATTCTCATAGCTATCTAAGTCATGCTCACTCTAATAATCTAACCCGAATAAAAATATACTTTAAACTTTAAAAGATATATTTACAGCAAACAGTAAATAATATTTACATATTAGTAATGCATTTTTTAAAAATTTACTGTTTTACTCTTTCAATAGAAAAATACAACTCTCTTTTTAATGAACATCTACCTCCACCTGATTAGCATCAGCTCATCATTAAATGCTTCATATTACATTAATAGATCAAGACAAGGAAAGCAGCATTTTAGTTCAGCAATCAAGAATTCAGATATCTAGGGGGCAGCTGGCTAAACCAGATTTATTCTTTAACTCCATTCTTAACACAACATACTTCAAAATATTAGAGTCAAAAAAAAAAGAGAATTAAGAATGTCCACCTACAACTGGCTTTTTTGTGACAGTATTTTTTTTTTTTACTGATGATGCTAATGCTAATCTGCAAGAATTGAAATCTTCATATAGAATTTCATAAAACAGTTTCAGAAGCAATTTAATTAAACACAATTTCATTTCCTTACTAAAACAACTCAGTTGAATGAAATATCACTATTCCAGCTCACAGGCAACACAATAAATTAATATTTTAGTACAACAAGATGTTCCTAGGGAAGTTATTGATTTAAGATAACTAAAATGATCAAGGAGGGGCAAAGAGGCAGCAAGCAGCCAGGCCAAAGGGAAAGGAAAGTAAGATGCACATGAGGCCACCTCATGGCAAGAAAAGAAGCCTATTGAGATTCCGCAACTCACAAGTAGTCCACATCAGTGCTTAGTTAAGTAAATACTTCCATAAATATTTTTTCAGAGTGAGTTTCACTCGTTTGCCTTGACTCTGTACTCCAATATTCTAATCACTAGTGTGGAGCTGTGTTTTGTTTCTTGGCTTTAAAATTGAATTTTCTTCAAAAAGTTTGGACAAAAGATTGCACAGACAATTACAGCATAGCTGTTCACTCATAATATGATTTTAGTGTGTGAATTTGAACAATGATTTTCCTTTTTCTCCCTTTGCTTCACCTTAAGAACTCTGAGACAAGCAGAGTGGCTGTCAAAGCCTAAAAGGATATTCACAACTAACAAGGCACATTAAAAGTCAGTTGTTTGGATTATCTGAGACAGAGGCTAATTAAGTTATTGTGTACCCTTAATATTCTAGTAAAAAACAAATCTAGAGCTTGTAAAATAAACATACCTCAAAATTCACAGGCAAGTTCCTTTTAAGTGCAATCTCAAAAACTTGGCTTATTTCAGATTTATTGAGATTTTCATCATCTGGTTCTTTTCCGTTAACCTAAAAAAAGCATACTCTATTTAAAATAAAGATCCTATTAAATTGAATTCTACTCATCCAACCAATTCACTGAACTCTCAATTTTAAAGTAGCCTAACCTTTACTGCTGTTTCACATGGATGTGTAAAAATGCAGCACGCACACTACAGAATTGAAATTTAAGTACCTCATTTAAGGTATATGTGTAAAAGCTAGTAAACCTTCATGTTTGCATGTGCTCAGTACAATGAAGAATAAATGGAATAAGGGCCAATAGGCTTAAAATCTATTTATAGAAGGATAAACTGAGGTTTTGAATGAACTGATTTCCAAATGGAAGTACCTCTATGAAATACCATTTACATATGCTGATTGGACATTTGTWCCAAAAGCACTAAGACAGTATCAGATAAGAGAAAGTGCAGGAAAATTAAAGATTCTGAGAATGGGACCAATATGAATAAATGATGGCTGATGAGACCTTGGTATAGCCCTCCTGTCTTTCAGCTTGCTCTCTTGCAAGTGCTCTAGCTGCACATTTCTCTCCTCTGAACGAAGAAGGTACTATGACCAACTTGCCTTAAATCACCTGCTGACATCTTAAATCATCTGCGACGTCTCACACCTACTGAGAGGGCAGCAGTGCCAGCTGGAGCTTATCTCCAAGCACTTCCATGTATCACCATGCAACATTCTGACCGGGACTCAAAAATGTCCTCACTGATGTTGATAACATGAGCTAAGATGTTGATAACATGAGCTAAGAAAGCACCGTAACAGCAACAGAGACGTGTCAAGACCAAGCGTCCAGCAGTGATATTGGAAAGATTATGATAGAGATGAGCAGCAATGATTTCACTGATTATCTCAGGCCACAATAGTGCTTATGCAATTGGGTTACAAAAAATGATTATATATTTTATTGGAGCAGCAGAAATATGCTAGAGAGGTGGCATCAATTAAAACTCAYTTTGATGGTAGCAAGCATCCTTAATCTCCATTACTAACAAATTACAGTCAAACAGAATACTGTTTTTTTTTTTCCAATACTAACTTGTTCTTCACTTACAACAACCTCTTCCAAAATAATTAATTTGTSGTTTTCACTCATTCACACGGTCTCATCAGATTTTTACACTCTTCTTATGGATTGGCTTTGCATTTCAGGTCTGCTTCAGACCTTATGCTTCAGAAGGGCATTCCTTTTAGAATGAAAAACATCTGATCCATCTGATCTTATGTCACTAGAGCACCCACTCCCCAAACTCTGAGCTCCAAAGCACAATCCTCAGGACTGCTGAGGCCACATGATGGCACCACTCCCACAGGCACAGTGCCCTGTACCTTACAAAGCACCTAAGAACGGAGAAGCACTAGAGGAACCACAGACCTTAGCAGATGATATTGGTGAAATTAAGATTGCAAACAGGAGACAAAAGTCTTGGTCAGCAAACTCTWATACCTATTTCACATGCAAGTGGTTCATTAAAAAATGAATAGCATCATAGAACTAGAAAAATTATTTGAACTTGTAGATTCTAATAAGATAAGCCCTTAAGTGTTAGAGGAAGTTTAGCATCAGCTAAAATGATAAAAAAAAAAAACCAAACTAGGAATAGCTTGTCATGGTCTTTGCTCTCAAAACATTAACAAAATCAMTTTAATTACAAGGATTTCCCTCCTTCTTATAATTTCAGATTTATTCTAGTTCTCCCAAGCAATTTACAAATTCCTATATTTTTACTCTCTAAAATTACTAACCAGTTCTTCTCTATGAGATTATATCTTTTTTTCCATTTAAAATCCTTTCAAGAGAATGTGAGGAAAGAAATACTAAAAAATTATCTGATATATTATGACACCATATTATATAATATTCCTGATATAGTCCAACTTTGTTCATATAGTTTAAAGCACAGAGATGCAAGTTAAAAACAAAATATGAATTAGCAGATTATAGCTGTATTGCAAATTATTTTGCCCGTACTAGGGTTCTGGATCAGTTTATTTCATAAGTCAAAGACAATCACACACATGCACATTCTCTCTCTTTCTCCTCCCGTACCTAAAGGTAGATGATCTATGAATCCTGCTTTTAAAACAGTTTGCATGTGCACACACTAAACTCTCAAAGGGATCACAAACATTTACTACTCTTATTTTCATTAATTTGTTCACTTTTTAACAAGTGAAAAGTTTGCTTGTACAACTTTTATTAGCCTCCATTCTATACATGCATTATAATACTATTTCTGACAATCTTAATTATTGTATCCTTCAAGGATCTTGTCTTACTGAACGCAAGTATGAACAGCGCCCACTKAGTGGGAAAATACTCCCTATTTTAACAGCTCTGTGTCCACTGCAAAAATAAATGGATATTATGAAGACAATAATTCATTCACTGATGTCTGTAACAAAATATTTGAAAGCCACAAATATTAACAAAGTACTCGAATACCAAATCTGAAATGCCAAAGATCTGACTTTTTGGAGTGCTTATATAACACAGTACTTTGAATTCAAAGGAATGCTCTCCTTAAATATAGCTGCACTTCTTATTGCTCAGTTTACAGACAAGTCAGACACCAGTAAAATGCCAAACCCATGTTTCATGTGGAATTCTAGTTTAAAGGACTGGTCCAGCATATCTATGGCAGGAGTCACAATGTAATTCAACTCCCAAGGTAACTTTCAACTGTTCTGTGCTTAAAATAATTTCCCCTTCTTGCAAATTCTTGTCTCATTTGTTATAGTACTGCTCTTATTACCTGGTCACGTAAACACAATTACAGTGTTTGCCCTGAAGACCCCAACTTTAAACACAGCTCTACAAATATTCAATCATCTGCACATAAACTTTCCTCTAAAAGTAAACAGAAAAAAAAATCAGTTTCATGCCATGATGGGACTTTCTGCACAGACCTTCTGCTTTAGGTTCACTGCACAGACCTTTGCTGTCTGAGGTAGAAAAATCACTGATGACAGCAGGCTATTTTCTACATAGATGAGTGCAAGGAGAGGATAMTGCATTAGTAGCACAGAATGACAGTGCTCAGGACATTCTCAGATCCCCTGCACTGAAGAAGACTCAGGCTTGACCTCCTTTGCCTGAGTACCTGCAGCCTGTCCCTGAGCAGCCCCTACCCTACCACCAGTCCTGGGTTTCAGCGCAGGAACTAAGCTCTACTTTCAGCTTCTGTTCCCAGCATCTTTTCCCCATTAGCCATCATTCCATTATCTACATCCTCCTTTCCTCCCCTACATTCMCTCTTTTAGCCTTCAGACTCAATATCTTTGCCCAATGACCCGGGCAAAGTTCTTTCTCACAGAACACACTTTTGTCTTTATTCAATTTTCTTCATATTCTTATTTCCTCAGACCACCTGTGCTCTGTCAAGCCTGGTAGCCCCCAGATCGTTCTTCTGTCTCAGACCCCTTGATAACCTTCTTGTCTTGTTATTCCTCATTCTCCTGTTTCAGCACAGAGCCAGCTTCCATAGCCAGCAAGTTCTCAGGCTCTTCACATTGCAAAGTATTACTAATTTCCACTCCCTGTTCCTACGCTCATTGGCTATCTCCTAGTCCCTTCTTTCACTTCTAGGCTTTCATCCCAAAGCCTCCTTTTCAACATAGCCTAGATCTCTTGCTCTTAATTCTAATACCAAGTCCTTATAACCTAGACTTGTATAATGATCTCATATTAGAAAGACTAAATTTCCTCTGGAAGTCTTTGGCTGGAGCAGTCAGAGAGGGAGAACACAGTCAGCTTGGCCTCAGGATCTGTAAGTAACTCGCATGCAAGCAGTGAATCTGCCAGCCTAAGAAACTTAACAAAAAGGCATGGGAAGGAAAACAAAAATAAAAAAGAACCAAAACCAAACAAAACAAAAACAAAAAACAATCAACCAAGCCTAAAAAGCCCTACACCCAGGTCTTAAAGTAAGATATCCTGGGCAAGCTTAAGTACACGGAGGACTACAAGCTTGCTTCCTACATTTATTTAGAAATACATGTAGGCATTTACTACTTTCATGAACTTTCCATTCCTTCTAGAATTTCTACAGCTCTTTCTACTTCCTAAGCAAAATTCCCATATCATTTCCAATTCATGTGATCTCCATGTTACCTATTCTAGAACATAAGTACYCCAACTAAACACTTCTTCAGAGGTTTATACATTATCTATGTCTGATAAAATATTAGCTACTATATATGCTTCCAGCACTCATATCCTCCAGATGTCTATAGCATTGCTGTGGAAAAATATGACAGCAAAAGAATTAATATAATCTAATATAAGAAAATTCTATTTCTATTGATTTTTTCCTAATTAAAATATTTCTATTAGATAAAACTAGGTCAGTACTACTACACTGAATTAAATTTCACAACTACAGTCTTCTTTCCAATTAGGAAAAAAATCTACATTAATATTTCAGTATCTTTTAGCAATTTATGCTTACGACACTAAGATCAATTCCCACCTCTGGTTTCTCAGGCAAGGGCTCATTCTGCAGAACTTTCAGTGCTTTAGCAGCTGCATCATGTTTAGCAGCTTGTCTTGTTCTTCCTTTCCCATGAAACTGCTGCCCTCCAATTGAAAGCTCAACTTGATAAAGTAAAGGTCCAACAGGAAATGGGTAAAAGTACCTACAAAGAAAGAGGCTTAAATAAGCAAGCAGCTTGGTCTATAAAGTAAACAGATAGAAAAGTAAGTTACACAGATGAGTCTGAAAGATTTTAGTGAGAGATACTGAAACAGAATATCAATGTTTCTTGCTTTACAATGTGAACACATTTCTAACTGACCAAAGGAGCACAGAAAGGCATCATTTTTGTACTTTCATAAACCTGGCAGTTCAGTAAGGTTTGAACTCTCCATTGCCGTGCTCAAACAGAATTCTTTAAACTGTAGATTAATTTTAAATCCAGTTTTAGGAAGACTGTCAAACTGTTTTCCTCATTTTTTTTCCTTTCATACAGAATGGAAATAAAAGAAATATTCTTAGCTATGAACTTAGTGAAGCTGGCTATTTGTCAAGTGTTCTCCCAAGCAGTTCACCATGGTTCAGTTCACTTACTCTTCCCTCCCCCTCAAAGGAAAAATGTTTAAATAGATAGAAATTCATGCAGATTATATGTAGAWATTCATGAGATGGGCTCATTAAAGCCTTTCACATCATGAGATGGCTAYATTTTAAGTTGAATCTCTCTTTAAGCATGTTACACTTCCAGCTAGCATTCAGAAAACAGGATCAACAGAGCATTCAGATCAACAGACCAGAAGTACAAAGATAAAAGATTACCAAAACCAAAATCAAGCAATACGCACCGTGGAGGATAAGCACCACCTCGCATGGTATAGTTGTAAGTGGATCTCATCCCTGTATAAGGATCAATAGGTTTGTATATAGGTTTCTTTCCCAGCTTCATGCAAAGTGCATTTAGCTCCACTGTGGGGGTTACACTGTCTAAATATAAATAGGAAAATAGAGAGAGTTGTCTATGTGTCATAAGGGACTGAAGAAATGCAAATTCTACTGCTGCCTCAAAGCAGGGAAAAGGCAAGCAAAATCCTGCCACGTACATTATTCTTGTGGAACTGAAATCTGAATATAGATACCAATGAACACACAGAAAATATGTCTCTACAATGAGTATCAAGTTAGGAGCATAGTATGACTGTGAATGTGACAAATCTTGTTACAGAAATCAGATGTGGTGGTGTTTGAAAAACTGTGAAGTTACTGATGCTTTACAAACGACTAACAAATTGGCCTGCGGAGCAGATAAATTTCTCTTCCTRGAGAAAAAAAAATAAATTAGATGGGCATGCTACATATCTGTTACTTTTGGTGTTTATTGATAATGACCAAACGTTTCTCTTTGCATTCAACAAAAGGCCTTTATGACTCTTCATTTTCAAATAACAACTTGCCTTTCAACAAGGCAGACAGGCTACCACTTAGAAATTTCTTTCCAAGCAGATTCCCCTCATAGGGATGAAGAATTGACTAACTGATTAATCTSATCTGAGAAAGAGCAGTCACATAAATGCTCATTTTTATAATACAGGCCCCAGTGGTTGAAAAATCAGTGTCTATTAGCAGTATTTTCTTACAGAGCACTTGCCAAAAGATGTTGAAAATATGGAACAGATAATCATAGCCAAAAGAAACTCTTGTTAACTTTTAATATTTTCTCTATTCATTGTATGAGGTGTTTCTAAGGAATGAAATTAAACTCTACATAATTTAAACTGTATTTAGGTGAGTTTTAACCTGTGGTGAGCTTTAACCTCTGCGAGCATTATAACATTATTCTAATAATTCTAAATTCAACTAACTGAAGAAAAATACAGAACAATCACAACGTGCAGCGAAAAATTACTTCCATTGACTACCCGATGAAGTTTTTCGGTTTGGACTTCTTATCTAGGATTCTTATTTCAAGAATGTATGAGCATTTACTCTAGGATTTCACCAAGTGTTACAAATAAACACTAAGCAGTGGGTTTCGTCATCCTTATTCAACTTTCAAATACATATTAAATCAGAGGGTCATATTCTGGGCTCTATTCCTGACGAGTTTGTCCTGGTACATACCTGGGTTTTTTCCTTCGCTACGAGATGGACGAGCTGTRGGTTTAGGGAATTTTGTCCCTTCCAGAGCTTTGGCAGCTGCGGCGTGTTGCGCTTTCTTAATACTAGTTCCTTCAGCTTCCCAGTGCTGGTCCCCAAGAGTCAACTGCACTGTAAACACCTAACAAACAGAAAACAAAAAATTTACCAAGAGCTGCATCAGAATTTACATCGTTTACTAGATTCTCTTCCATTGAACAATGACTTTTATAGTGATGTAAAACTTAAGGATATGGTATCAAAGCTTTAACTCCCACATTGTCTTCAGGTTCGAAACACTTTGGACATCTACCAGTTTGTCCAGCTTCCAAACYAGGCATTTCACAAAAACTGCAGCTACTATTTGACCTCCTGCATTACTAAAAAACAAAAGGGGCAATGCATACAGGTGACAGATAAGGACAGGGCTGCTATACCAGCAGTATTCTGAACAGCTGCCTTGACATTCACACCATCTCATGTTCATTTTGCATAACTCCACTGTTGCTTTAACACTTTTTTTTAAACTGTTCTTCAGCAGWTTGAATATAGAGAATAAGGTCACATTGTGCCCTAGGTGCTACTACACGACCACAGGTGTGCATAAGCCTCTGACTATAGAACAARGCTCTGTGGCCCTATGCTTTAAGTATGTGGGATAAGATAAATATATTGCCCTAAATTTTCACAAGTTAATCATACAACAGCAAGGCAAGGTCTCCCTGGTAATTAAATTAAGTTTAATTTTAATCAGAGTGAAAAYGCATGTGAACAGATGCTCTGAATGTTATTCTGATACGCTGGCTTTTAAAAGCAAACCTTGCCTGCTTTTGCACATCGAGGCTGGCATTATACAAGCCTTGGACAAAAGAYTTCAGTTCTTAATATTATTCAGTTCCAAGGCAATTCCTTTACTATACAACATGAAGACTGCTCCATGAAGCAGCTTAAGGAGAGGATGTAAGATTAAATAGACATATAGCCGGCTGATTTTCCTAGTATGTCTTAACCTCAGTACACACACAACACATCTTCAGTGAAGGGTAGAAAGTTTAATTATGTTAAAATTCTCTTCTTCRATGTTCCTTGATGCAACACAAATTGCCTGTATATTTGCTATGTGCCAGTAAAATTATCTCCCTGAATGCAAGTAGAACACTAAAGGAATTGTACAATACTGAAATTTTAACACACTGTAAAAGATATGCAATGACCTGGTGTGTCCACATTTTGGTCTGTCGTAGGCATTTATATACTCCCTCTATGATGAATTAAAGATTTTTTTGCTGAAGTAACTGTTTGGGAACAGTCAAACATTCTAAAGAAAGAAAGAGCCRCAGCAACCCAATATTCAGTTATGATATGCACAAGGAAGGAAGACAACGCTTCTTAAAAGCCTTCTTAAATTTCTCTGCACAGAACAATGAAACTAGATTTGCCCCTCACAAATTATATGCACACAAAAAAGAAGAACAGTTGCCACAAATCTTCCCATATCTCACAGGATAACGTGGACTAAAAGTTGACAGAATTCACCTCAATGTATTAAAAYGCATCAGAGGAAAAAAAAACACATGAGTTTGCAGAACAAGAGGCAGRAYGTAGAAGAAAAGGTTAGCATAATGTTATAAAATGATTTCATGAAGAAATCCCATATTTAATAGGAATTTTATTTGCAAAGACCAGGAGGGACAAACTATGCATAACTAAATGAAAATCATAAATAACATGCCTCGCAAAGGTGCTAACAACTCTCCAAAAGATCTAAGTTGAAGCTAACAGATAAGTTCAAACGTGACATACTTGGGGAAATCAGCTTTTTGAATGCCTCTAACAGCTTCACACMTCCAGCACTTTCAGCAGCTTCCTATGCCTCTCGGTTATTCAATATTATATTGCACCAGAAGCATGCACTGTACTTTCACACTTGCAAAGGTGAGCATGAGCAACAGAAAAACCAAGAAACTTCTATGAGCATTTACCTTTGAATGAGCTGGACCTTGCTCACTTAGAAGTTTATATTCAGGCTGAATCTTGTTGAAACGGGCTAACTCATTCACAAGACACATTGGGGTTTTCTCTTTGGGGTTTGCCATGTTAGAAGGAGCTGAAAGATGACACAAACACACACGAAGCAAGATAAATGGCAGGTAGTAATGAAGGTTCCTGTATTTTCTAAGTTAAAAAAACATTCACTGMCCTAGCACCCAGTTGTCTGCTATACACCCTTTTACGGAAGAGATCTGCCAGGTTAGATGTTATTAGCCACTAGCCAAACTGGTGCCAATCTACTGAATTCTGGGGTCTTTGAGCAATGTGCAGGCCTATAATAGTATCATTAAGTGTTATGCTTTCATTAAAGTCATATCTGTGAAGTCATGAGGCCAACAGATGTCTGCTTAAGTCAGAGGCTTCAAGGAGCAAATCATGAATGTATTCGTCATGGTTATTTGTTTTAAATGATTCCTCAAGTTTGCTTCTTTTATTTTCCATCTTTTTTCACTTATTATCTATTTTTATTATCTTTAATTAGCTCTATGTCTTTGTTTTTAGAACTACAGTACATTTATCAATAAACCAACTATAATTGAATAAGATCAGGACAAAATTGATTCTGCATTGCTTCAAAGTCCAGCCACTGCATTCTTTTTTCATTATGGTTTTCCATATTGATTATTTATTTCCTTTTTCCAGGGAAGCCTGAAGAAGACTTATTTTTAAGTATCCCACTACTATATTTTCCAATGTTGTTATTAACATTTTTAATGAATAAAATATGTTCAATCTTACATGCATTAAGGACTCAGAAACACTAGTTTTAAACAAAAACTGTAAAACAGAAGATAGCTTTCTTGATACAAGCAGACATGTACTCATTCACCGATCCTTTAGCAAACATATAGAAAATACATACTGTTTAAAATACTTTATTTAAGACAAGTTACTTGTGGAAAGAAATGATAGCAATGCTTTAAAAAATAAACTTTTATACAACATTTTAAATGACTCATTATAAAAATGTTTTAACTAATTCTTAGAACTTTGCAAAATATCTTTTTATCTGTCTCAGTTCCATTCAATGGGGATAAAGCACGGCAAGCCATTGTAGTTGTATAAAGATTACTTTAATAATATTTCTAAAATATCAGGACTATACCATGCCAAACTACAGGCACTAAGACTATAGACATCCATTAACAGAAAGTCAATCTTACCTGCAGCTGCATTGGTGGATGTAACAGATGCAGAGGGTAAAGCAGAGTTTTGGATAGGTCTGCCTGCATTTTCAGAGGGCAAAGAACTAGTAGTAGAAGGAATACTCAAAGGCTGTGCGAGAGAGGGGTTCTTATTCAGTATTTGATTCCCTGCAAGGGCTGCAGAAGGATTCTGTATTTGAACTTGAGACATGTTCACTTCCAACCAGAGCAAGTTACCGTAGGTAAACAGCTTTGAAGGCAGGCAAATTCAACGCGATGAAGCCGAATTGTTGACCTAAAATGTGTAAAGATGAAAAATAAAACAATTACGCTAAATATTCATAGAGTTTAGAAGCTTTATTTATGCTTGCTCAATTAAGATTATCTATCCATCTGCTTTCTACATCACTGAATCCACTTACTTAGCAAATCCTGTTACTTAAACTGACAGCCGCTGCTGATGTATCGAACACTTTAATGACGAGATKATTTCATGCATTTTGCCACTTGAAGTTGAAACTTGTAACTCAAAGGCAAGCAATAAATGCAGCATTTACAGAACAATTACTCAGACCATATATCCTCTATTATAATCACATATATACTTTTTTTCATAGTCAACAAGGAGAATGCCCAAACATTCTGTCTAAGATGAAATGACTGAATTGAGAGGAACAACACACTGGCGTCTAGTAGCAARTGCCAAAGTAGCTATTATGGGGATCAAGAAATAAATAAGAGTTTATCAATCCTATAAGATACTTTGAAGGTTACTTCTAATTGAGTCAAAGTATTCACAGTTCAAGCATCAGGTTGGAGTTACTGGCTTTGCAATCCTGTAAACAAGTATTGAGAGTCTTCATAAGCAGCTGTGTTATAAATAAAATAAATTATAAAATAAAGCAAAAACAAACAAACCAAAATTCCCTCCAAGCAATGAACTTACAGCAGTCATTGTGAAATACTCTGATAGGTCTTTTCCCCACTGACAAATTACTGGAAGATTTCTCTTACAGGTGGCTGCAACTTTATCTCCATACTCAGACTGTTCAACCTAAATATATACTAAGAGATTGCCAGTTTGAAGACTATCATTGCAGCCACAGCGCAGCTGCCCCTTATCCACTTACAATCCATACATCAATCTACTTATTCAAAATAAGTTTTACAGCCAATTTAAATATACTTCACATGCAAACACATATATTGCTCAACTGTAGACTTCCATTTGGGCAGCAAACAAAGGCTTTTTCTCTCCTAATKTACAGATTGGAAGTAAAATGACTGCTCCAGATATGCTTGGGAGCTGTTAGCAGCAACACARCCTCAGGGCTGCCCGCTGAGCTTCAGCTTCTGAGCTGTGAATGGGCTCCCGAAGCAGGAGCGCAAGGGGCCAMGGGGATTTTCTTAGCTACTTGCTGGCAAAACATCTAAGAGGAGAACTGATGCACRGGGCACTGGCAGACAAAGGTCATGCTGGACCAGAGGAGAGGAAAGACTCTCCGGGGAACAACCTAACAGACTGTAACAGGCAACTCTTCCCCTCCTGCTGTACACACCAACCAACCCACCGACCGACCGCCTGCAACTCGGGCTGTGAGGTTGGTTGTGGTACTGTGGAGGACTGGCATAAAGGCGTCAGGCTTGTTATGCTACTGATTGGATAACTTCGTTTTTACTAGAGAGAAATTAGCTCAGAAAACCTCTTCCATTTACTTAGGTTACACTCAAGACAAATCCAATATTTGGCTATGAAATTTGAAGAGTTACATATTTGGTACATTATAATTTAGAGTAGTATTAGGAATATAAAGGAGCTCCAAGAAGTTGAAAGGTGAAGATGAAAAGTATTTAGAGTAAGACTCCAGGGTAGTAATTTTATAACTGTTAGATTTTCATTCCCAGGAGCATCACTAGAAACACTGAAAACTTTCAAACATAATAGAATAATTGCCTGGATAAGTCTTGTGGTGCAAGAAGCAATGATAACTCTTCTGCTGTAGTGCAATGCCCTTCTAAGCAACTCCATTTACAGTTTATAATCCATGAATTTTAAGAAGAAAACACAAAAATGTTTGGCTTTGAAGACAAGAAAATCAGAATCTTTCAAAAGAAGCTGGAAGGGAAGCGTGAAGTGTTTCTGAAAAGARCTCTGCTGTAAATGCTTCATTTTAAAAGCAAAGTGCTATCCGGTAGTTGYTTGTTAGCATCGGGTTCTAAGGAACATGGGATTTCAGCTGCAAAACACAGACGTTTAAGTGGACAACTGTTACACAACACAGCAAAAGACAGTTTTCTACCAGTCATGAACTCCACTAAAAAACCCATCTCATCAAATCTGCTTCTGGCTAGAAACCCCCAAACCCTTCTGGATTTGGGCAGACTCCTGTCATCAGGCATATGAAGCCTATGGACATTTTCCTCCGATTTTCTCCTTGGGACTAGCTCACAAGACATTCCATCTTCACAGTCACCTCTCCTAGTTGTATCTGGTTCGCAATGAGGTGCAGACCTGGTTAGTTATTAAGTTACCACAGGAGCCCTGTGCTCACCATGCAGACTTCCACCATCCCCGCGATCCTTTTTTTTAACAAACAAAATCATTGTGCTCACAGGAATGTGAACAGTGACATTTTATAAACAGGTTTTGCGTTTCACCTTCTACCTAGAAATGCTCCAGAGTTTTGAAGAGGGCTGTTAGATCTATAAACAAGCAGATTTTTAAAAGAAGTAACTAGTTAAAGTCTGTCTGCTCAGTTGCTTATGGTTTAAAGCCTGGTGCAGGCTGTAAAAGTTGGATAATCTGCGATCATCACCAAACATGCAATCTAGTATTAAGCTGCCATCCTGACACAACATTCTATTCACTCTGTATCCCCCTGTATCAGAAATGCTAAATGCCCATGGACCACAGTGAAATGAATGCACCTTTAAAATCACTGCATACCTGATTTCCTAAGCAAGCTCTGGTGAAGAAACCCACACTTTTGTCAAAGCAGCACCATAATGCAGAATAAGGCTTCTACAGAAATTGGAAAGATTGCCTAGCTTAAGCTATTCTGTAGCCAAAATATTTTTTCAGTGTTTTTGACATGTATGAAAGCCTTTGCTAAGACTTTTTAGAATCAAAGTTCATTCTGCAGTGTCTTAAAGAAATAGTGTAAGATTGTGAACAATTGTTAAAAGACACCTAAAACCCACGAGACTGCTCATTCCACAGACAGCTGAGTACAGAACACCCTCATTCTCTGTCCTGCTGGAAGTCTCGGCCTCTTGGATACAAAGAAAACARGCACTGCTGCAGACTACAAACTCAGCTGTGTCCAGAACAACTCTACGACATTTTATAGCCAGGATGTCAGTACAAATTTCACAGCAAAATCCAACATTACCACTTGGCTTATGCTGAGCTCATATGTGGTGATTCAACTTCAAAATATAAGTAAAAAATTCTCTTCAATTTTACTTGTATGTCTGTCTCATCCTCTTTTTACTCACACGGTACTAGTGCGTATATTCATCTGCCTGAAGTGCCTGAGTGTTTGTTTGGCCTTTTTTTTTTTCCCCTCCCTGAGAAGGGAAGTTCCCAATGAGGATATTATTAGTTCACTTTCTATATTTACCGTGYAGCACCTCACGCCACTGAATTTCAGCCTCCGCCTGTCCCACCCAGAGACCACCAGTGCCAAGTCTGAAAGGCTTTTCTTGAAAACACCTCCAGATAAAATAATATTTGCAACAGACAATTCTGCCATTATCCACAAAACCTATGGGGACTTGAGCTCACATCCTAGACCGTGGAAAAAAAAGAGGTTTTGGAAACTGATTTGATTGCGAATGGACTTCAACTGTTCGTATTCCACTACGGGACAGCAGAAATGCCCACAGAGGTGCTCCCAGGTCATGAGCTGCTTTGTCTCAACCTGGAGACCAACTGCTCAGCTTCTCTGACAGGGTCTGGCCACTCAGTCATGGTCACACAGCCCAGCACGGCCCGGGTGGGCGAGCTAGGAACCCCCTGGGAATTTGGCCTGTAGAAGGCTTCGAAATTACAAGGGTTATAATGAATGAGGCTGCTGTGAATTGGGGACCAAACCTCTTTGGCAAAAATTTGGCCTCCAAAACTGTTAACTTAGCAAGGAGGAAAAATAGGAAACGGAATCACAAACATGACTGTTTCTAAAAGCAGAGGAAGGAAAAGCATCAATGACTAACAGACATTCACTCTTTACTTGAGGTAGAAATCTGAAGACTGTAGAACATGCTATTCCTCAAGAATTACCCCTATGACACTGGAACAGTGCATAGCTGGGTTTATCAGTCTTCCTACAGAAGAGATTCCAAGAACTGTCTSACAAAACAAACTGGACTTTTATTCCTCATTTTTCAGCTACTTGTGTGGCCACAAAATCCTAACTATGCAAGAAAAAGCACCATAAGCTAGAAAGTTGMGAGCAATGGTCTACAAAGGCTGCCTTAGTGGACAAAAGGCTACAGAGATCCTAGTACTTTAGAAGATTTTTCCATGAAATTAGGACTTAGCTACTTCAGGCATTTCAAGATAAATACTACGACAAAGCCCGTGACCACCACACAACACCAGAGGCACCGTCAGAACGTTGCACGCACTCGGAGGTAGGTGAGTGAACAAATGTTTCGCTCCCACCCTATCTCTAACTCAGCAGTCAAACACACAACTTGCTCCTTTCCCACCCACCCACACGTTTCCACCGACCTACCTAAGTGCTAATCCAGAGTAATCTTTCAAATTTCATGAGGACTTTTGTGCTAGCATATTACCCTCATGGTAGTAATGGCTGYGATCAAACACTTCAATGATCTATGGATAGTAATAAACTTAAGAGATGGACAGGAACYTCCTTCCCCATTTCAGTTTTCTGTTTTTTTTCACTTTCTTTTGGCCTCTCCAAGCCTGGCACATTCCCAGAATTTTTGGCCATATTAAAAGTGAGAAGTCCAAAAACCACTATGCTAACCAACAGGCAAGCAAAGAAATGCAAAAAGATGTGCAACCCAAAAAACAAAAGAAAAAAAAATCAATAGAAGTCTTTGTAAGTTAAGACTAATGCAGTATTTTCAGATAAAACTTCTCTTGAGGCTTCTTTGTAAGCACTGAATTCTCACTGACAAACTGGTCTATAGAGCTACATTTTTCCAAGCAAAAAAGTCCAATTTGATTCACCAACCTCTTTCCAGACTCCTTCCCCAAACCCAAGTGGTCTCCCTTACACAGACTGTGCAGGCTGCCAGTGGGGTTCTCTGCAGGGCCC